AGACCAAACGCTTTCTTCTAAATATTGGTAATGATGAGTTCAACAAGTTTTACTATTAACTCATTTACATATCGAACGATATTTACTGTCTTACTGTAACTAGTTCTAGTAATACCTGTAGAAATAAGATACAGTTACTTGCTGTGATCCAGTTACTTGAGATTCCTCAATTTCATGCTGTAAAACAGTCATTATGGCTCTCTGCAATATATTTTTAAATAACATTTTCGAATGTTGTTAATAGATTAATAATGAATTGATCGCTTACTTACTTTAACAACTTATCATTGCTTATCATTGTCTTAAAAAATGACGGCATCGTTTGCTTATCATTGCCTCAAAAATGACAGCACCCTTTTTAAAGTTAAGTCAGGATGGAAGAATGCATTCAAACTAACAGAGATACTTTCCAAGCTGTTGAAACTTCAGGAAAAAGTAATATTTACAAGTGGCTTAACTTTGTAATTGACCTAACTTAACTTCCAGAAGTTAATTATAATGGGAAGCATGCCAAGCCTAGAAAGGCCAGTTAAATTTTCATTGTCAAAAAAGTTTCGTTTTTTAAATTGTAAAGAGAAACAATGTCATACACAATAAAAAATTGTCCTTTTTCATTTCAGGTACCATTTTCGCTTCATTTTTTTTGGACCTCAATTTTTTGAAATCAGGCCAGCCTCAATTGCTGCACAGTTGACGTTTCACATCCATTGAAATAAAATAGATTTTGCGTTTCCATTTTAGATACATTTTAAAAGTACTTTATATTTTGTGATGCTGCAAGTAATATTTAATAGAAATTATAGCACATATCAAGAAAAAAAAATCGTTAGAGAAAATGAAAAAAACTTACCAGGTATATCTCCATGAGTAATCGACCATATTTCTCAATAATTAACAACTACTCAAGTCCATCTCAAAATTCATGCAAAAATTGATTGTTTTCTCTACCATAAAAGTTGCACAGAAAAAAGAAAAACCAAACAACAAACCCATTTTTAACACTAATTGAAATAATATTTGTGAGATGAATCGTTGTATAAATCTGAAAATATTAGAAATAAAATGATTGCACCTTCTACACATTCCAAAACATAACAAACGGAAATCTTCTGAATACGATAATTAATGAAAAAAGAACATGCGAAAGATGACTGTCATCCATGGGGACAGAGCAGTAGAAAGGAAAAGAAAAGCCAAAAATATATTGAGTAAAATTCAAACATAAAAGTCATTACATAAAAAGTTAAAAACCAAAATAGGGCAAACTAACCTGAAAGCATACAAAAACTTCGGCTGACAAAACGGAAGTTATGGAAGCTCGAAAAACAAAACAACCGTAGTTAAAAATAAAAATAAAGCAAAAATGCAGTTAGTGAAAAAGGCATGTAGAAGATATAAAGTTGCAGAACAAAATAAAGTAAGGCAAAAGTGAAAACAATAAAAAATGAGTGAGATGAGTGGAGAAGGATGCAAAACAAAATGAATCAAATTAAGAAGAAAGCAAGCAATGCTAAGTAAGTCAAATTAAGAAAAAACATGTAACAATAATAAAGAAATGAGTAAAGCGAGTGGAAAATCATGCAAAATAAAGTAGGTCAAGTTAAGCAAAATACAAGTAATATCAGTAAGAACATTAAACAAATGAGTGGTAAATCATGCAAAGTAAAGTAAGCCATGGAAAATCATGCAAAGTAAGCCGCGGAAAATCATGCAAAGTAAGCCGCGGAAAAATCATGCAAAGTAAAGTAAGCCATGGAAAATCATGCAAAGTAAAGTAAGCCATGGAAAATCATGCAAAGTAAAGTAAGCCATGGAAAATCATGCAAAGTAAAGTAAGCCG